CGCGCGTCCACGCCTGGCGTATTCACTGCATCATACACCCAAGACGCGCAGGAGCGCTATCCGTTTCGGGCTCGCAAAACGTGGCAGAGGTGGCACATGCTCGACACCACAGGGGGTGAACTGGGGGTGGGAGCGCCATGCGTTCTGGTCTCGCACGGCGCGGCAGGCGTGGCTATCCGTTCTGTGCTCGCAAAGCGTGGCATGCGTGGCACGTCCTCGACACCACGGGGTGCGCAAAACGCGGCAGGCGTGGCACTTCCTCGACACCACGGGGGCTGCGCACTGGGTGGGGGCGCTATCCGTTCCGGGCTCGCACGGCGTGGCAGGCGTGGGGCATCCTCGACACCGCAGGGGGTGAGCTGGGGGTGGGAGCGCTATCCGTTTCGGGTTCGCACGGCGAGGCAGGCGCGGCATTTCCTCGACACAACAGGGGGTGCGCTGGGGGGTGTGAGCGCTATCGGCTTCGGGCTCGCAGAGCGTGGCAGGCGTTACACATCCTCGACACCGCAGGGAACGCGCTGCTGGTGGGAGCGCTATGCGCTTCGGGCTCGCAAAGCGTGCCAAGTGCGGCACATCCTCGACGCCACAGGGAGTGCGCAAAGCGCGGCAGGCGAGGCGCATCCTCGACACCACAGGGGCTGCGCTGTGGTTGGGAGCGCTATCCGCGTCGGGCTCGTAAGTCGTGGCAGGCGTGGCACATCCTCGACATCGCAGGGGGTGAGCTGGGGGTGGGGACGCCATCTGTTTCGGGCTCGCAAAGCGTGGCAGGCGTGGCACTTCCTCGACACCACAGGGGGCGCGCTGGGGATGGGAGCGCTATCCGTTTCGGGCTTGCACAGCGCGGCAGGTGTGGCACATCCTCGACACCGCACGGGATGCGCTGGGGGGGTGAGCGCTATCCGCTTCGGGCTCGCAAAGCGTGGCAGGCGTTGCACATCCTCGACACCTTGGGGGGTGGGCTGCGGGTGGGGGCGCCGTCCGTTCCGGGTTTGCAAAGAGTGACAAGCGCGGCATTTCTTCGACGCCACAGGGGCTGCGCTGGGGGTGGGAACGCCATCCGCTTCGTGCTCGCAAAACGCAGCAGGCGAGCCCGCGTGTTATCCATAACTGTAAACACCTTGGCTCAAGCCGTTTCGGCGTGCACGCGCTTCCACGCAGTCTCGCTTGTAATTCCGTTTGGGGGCAGCAGCCGCTGTACCTGCGCGTGGCTGACATACCGCCCAAAATTGCCATGGGCGCCTTGCCACCTCGGCGTTTGGCGACGAAGAAAGACATGACTCACATAGGTGGCGAGGTCCGCCTGGAGAACTCGCGCCGATGTGCCCACGGAGTGGTGCTGTCCGCAATTACTGCGTACCGCCGCCAGTTCAACAATTGGTGGCCTGATACGCTCTACGCGAAGTATTCCTACATGAGCCACCAACATCATTGTCACATGCTTCACTTCAACTATCATCACGCCAGCCATACTGTAAGTATGTGGGGTTCTTCGGTAGCGATATTTGACGGTCCCGAGGCCCTGCGAGGGCCCCCGGAAGCAGAAAATAGGGAAGAACCGCCCGTCGTGATTTGTTCATTGCCCGATGGGGGTTTGGCAACTCCACCAATCAATGCCCCCCGGTTGGCTGGCGGCGGCTCGGGGGTGCCCCTGCCGGTGTCGCGCGGTGCCACCCGCGGCGTCGCGCGCGGTGTGCCGCGGTGTCCTTTTCTGTCGCAGTGCCCCGCGCGATGTCCCGCCGTGTCCCGCGGCGCGGTGTCCCGTGGTTTCCCGCGGGATCAATCGCGAGATCGATATTGAGATCGGCAGGCACGTCGATCGCACGACCAAAATGACGTCGGTTGCGATGTATCGGTGCATCGCGGCGTCGATCTGCATATCGAGTGGTCGATGGGGAGCGATCGCGGTAGGCGGATGGCCAGATCGGCGAGCCGTGCTGCCCAAGTTGTTTCCGCCGAGTCTGATCGGAGACCACTCGCGCACCTAAAACTCAGCGCCCCCCCCACGCAACTGCCACATCAGCCGAAAAGGGCGGTCGCATATGTACCACCAGTCTCGAGTGCGGTAATCATGTTTCCTTCCTCATGTTCGTTTCCTTCCTGCTTCCTTCCTCCTTTTGGAAACGTATTTCCGGCGGCGGCCGAAAGTGCCGTTGCCGCGGGTGGCCGGATGCCCGCGTTGGTCGTTCGCGTGGTGCGGCGTCGGATCAGGGATCGTTTGTGTGGCGTTGCGTGCGCGGGTGACAGAGAGAGAGATAGAGAGAGAGAGCGAGTGATAAATATGAAGAAGAAGAAGAAGGGTGAGAGAGAGAGAAACCAAAGAAATACAGGAGGGAGAGATAACGATACATGCATACATAGATTTATGTTTGTATACATGTACACAAATGTTTACGTATAGAGAAAGAGAGAGAGAGAGAGAGAGAGAGAGAGAGAGAGAGAAAGAAAGAGAGAGGGAGAGAGAAAGAGAGAGTAAGGGACACAAAAAAACAAGAAGAGAACCAGAGATGCAGAGCAAGAAGGGGGGAGGAAGAGGAGGAGGAAAAGAAGGGGGAGGAATAGGAGGAGGAGGAGTAGGAGGAGGAGGGGGAGGAAGAGGAGGAGGAGGAATAGTAGGAGGAGGACGAGGAGGAGAAGGAGGAGGAGGAGGAGAGGAATCGGAGGGATACGCATGAGACTGTGGAGAGGTTTTACGGGGAGCGACATGCCGGAGGAGAAGGAGGGGAAGACGCAGAAACGGAAGGATGGAGGTAGAGAGAGAGGGGGGAGAGGGAGAGAGTGTGAGAGAGAGGGGGGCGGAGAGAGAGAGAGAGGGAAAGAGAGAGAGAGAGGGAGAGTTAGAGAGTGAGAGAGAGAGAGAACGCGGAACCCGACAGCTCACGCATGATTTTGATGCCGAGGCTCAGAAGAAATTCGCCTGGGTTGGATCCCTGGACGCGCGAGCCCCTCAGGTACGAGCTCGCGTTCCACGACATCACGCAGGCGTCGCCATGGCTCGGAGGAGAGCCAAGGGACCACGGCCACCGAGACGCCACCGGGGGGGGGGGCCCACCCCTGGGCGGGGGCACGCCCGAGCGTCGTCCGGTGCCGGGTGACGCTCGGGCGCACCATCCGCCCAGGGTCAAGTCGGGCATGTCCCTCTACAGGAGGGACATTCAAACATAGCCAAGGTCAGTGGATGGTTTTAGGTCATTTGTTGACCATGTTTGGGTATGGTTTGACTAGTTCACTTGTTCTTCCAATATCTGCCTGTAGGGGGACATGCCCGACCTGCCCCCTCCCCTGAGGGGTTGTCGATGGCCGTGGTCGTTGTTTCTGCTCGAAGCGGCGGAAAAGGGTCCTGGGCGGAATCGGGTCCTGAGGTTTTGTGTCGTTTTCGGGCTCTGGGGGCCCTCTTCGCGTCCCAGGGCTACTTTGCAAAAAAAAAAAACATGGTCCAGGACCCGTTTCCTTCAGTGCCCAGTTTCTTCGTCGCCAGAGGCGAATCTGTGCGGGTGCACGCAGTTCAACATGACCCGCAAGGGTGGGGGGGGGGGGGGCGAGGGTTGAAGAAGAGGGGCATACAACCGGATCGAGGTACTACATCGAGGTCGGCTCGGGGAGGGTACCCTGGTGTTCTTCGTGTTTGTTGGATGTTCTCGTGCAGCCTGGGGAGGGTATCTTTGGATGTTCTGTTTGTTTTGGCCGGCGGAGGGTCTCATGTTCTTGAGGGATGTTCTTCTGGCCTAGGTCCGACTGTATTCGAATTACGGGGTATAGCGGGTGCGCGGCGGACCGTAGAAGGCAGCGGGCGCGGGCGGAGTCAGGGGTAGGGGTGGGGGGCTGTGATGCGTGTCGCCCGTCGGTCTTGCTGGGCTCCTCCAGCTCCCGCGTTTCCAGCTGCCGCCCGTGATGCCTCGTCCCGGAGGGGGAGCGGCGGGGAGAGAGGGAAAGAGAAAGAGGCGGAGCAGGATGAGAGGATGGCGAGAATGTGGAGGAGGATGAGGAGGAGACGGCGGCGGCGGAGGAGGAGGAGCAGGAGGAGGCAGAGGAGAATGCGAGGAGGAAAAGGAGGAGGGAAACGGAGGAGGAGGATGAAAAAGGAAGAAGAAACTGCGGTGGAGACGCGGGAGGAGGAGGAGGAGGAGGAGGAGGAGGAGGAGGAGGAGGAAACCATGCAGCGTTTGGAAGGGAAGAGGGCCATGGGCATGACCATGTGAGGGTTCTGGGCGAAGATCCCAAACCTTGCTTGTGGGTGGTCGGCGAGCCCTGCGCACTGATCATGCTGGACGGGGGTCGAAGGTGAGCTTACACCTTAGGCGATGCGTAAGAAAACCCAAGTTTTCGGCCAGAGTCTCGATTATTCTTAACGTTTCAATGTAAATCCTAAGATTTTGATAGAAATGTTGGGTTTTTATTGAAGTTCTAAGACCATGATTTTCTTAACCCATGGTTTCTTAAGCATTTCGCGTGGTGTACTATTGGCCTCATCCTCATCCTCCATCGTTCCTGGCCCGCTTTGACACCAGTGCGTCGTCGTCGGCCCTCAGCCCTGGTCCAAAGCGTTTTTGTGCTTGCCTTTTCTTCCTCTTCCCCTCTCTCTCTCTCTCTCTCGCTCCTCTCCTGGCCTCCAGCCTCGCCCTCCTCCTCTGCCTCCTCCTCCTCCGCTTCCTCTGCCTCCTCCATCCTCCGCGCCTCCAGCCCCCTCCTCTCTCCTTCCTCTCCCGCTCCTCTTCCTCCCCCTCTCCCTTCCGCACCGCTCGAACGCGCGCGCGCGGCTCTGTCGCCTCGGCCCGAGGCCCCCGCAGCGAGCGTGGCGAGCGCCGCCGCGCGGCTTAGCGCCGCCGCGCGGCGGCGGAGAGGCGCCGCCGTTTCCGCGGCGGCGGCGGCGGCGCGCGCCGCGCGCCCACCGCGCGCCCGTCCCTCCCTCGCCGAGCGCGGCGCGGAGCGCCCCGCGCGCCATGGAGCGCGGAGAGCAGTCCCCGCCAGCGCCCGCCCGAGCGCGGCCAGTGGCGCGACGCCGCTGCCGCCAGGCGCGGCCCCGCGCCGGCGTCGCCCGAGAGCCACTGGGGCGCACGCGGCGGAGCCGCCGGCGCACAGCCAGTGGGGCGCGCTGATGGAGGCCAGTGCCGTCGCCGGCGGCGTCGTCGGCAGCCCTCGTCGTCGGCGTTTGTTCGTGTCGCCGCCGCCTTCGTCGTCCCCTTCCTTTTTTTTGTCTCTCTTATCTCTCTCTCTCTTCTCCCGCCTCCAGCCTCGCCCTCATCCCTCCTCCTCCACCTCCTCCTCCTCCTTTCCTCCTCCTCCACCTCCCCCTCCTCCTCCTCGTGCCCTCGTCCCCCTCCTCCTCCGCCTCCTCCTTCTCCTCTTCCACCTCCTCCTCCTCCTCTCCTTCTCCTCCTCCTCCTCCTCCTCCTTCTCCTCCTCCTCCTCCTCCTCCTCCTACGCCTCGTCCTAATCCTCCTTCTCCTTCTCCTCCTCCTCCTCTCCTCCTCTCCGCCGTCCTCCTCCTCCTCCTTCTCCCCCCTCCCTCCTCCCTCCCTCCTCCCTGCCTCATCCCTCCTCCCTCCCCTCTCGCCTCTCCTCCTCCCCTCCTCCTCCTCCTTCCTCCTCTCCCCTCCTCCTCCTCCTCCTCCTCCTCCTCCTCCTCCTCCTCCTCCTCCTCCTCCTCCTCAACATCTTCATCCTCCTCCCCATCCTCATCCTCCTCCTCATCTTCCTCTTTCCGTGTCCCTCGCGTTCCTGCAAAACATCCGTGTGAACATGCTGCGTGTTGGCTCAACGTGTTTGCCCACGTTTTGGCGAACGTATCGCGCCAGACCCACGTTTTCGGTCTACGTGTTGAACTCCGTGTCAATACGCTATGTGTTGTGTGTCTCGTATCGGGCAGCTAAGTTGAGCCCTGATCCTCGAAGGCAGGGGTGGTGGCCGAGGGCCTGCAGCTGCGGGTCATGCGCCTCCTGGACGTGCCCCGGGAGTTCGACCAGTCGGCGGGCGGCCAGGCGCTGCCCTACGTCCTCAGGGTTCTCGAGGGCGAGGACTCAAGCAGTGGCGAAGCGTCCTGGCCAGCACATAGGCCCACCAAACAATGTTCTAAGAACTGTTCGTGGTTTGCACGACGTGTTCTTGGAACAGTTCTGGCTGGCGCTGTCTTGTTGATCACATTGGCTTCCTGTACTATGATCATTGCATTTGTCATTTGGGCACTCTTTGGATCTAGGAACATGTCGTAGTGGGCCTGTAGGGGTGCTAGGACGGTCGGTCCCTGCTCAAGAGGACGGGTACAGGGAGCTGGCCGTGTCGCGCGAGATCCCCAGCGGGCCGCACCTGGACCAGGACAGGGAGACGCTGACGCTGGAGGCAGAGGGCGCGCTGCGGCTGAGCAGCACGTCCGTGGTGCTGCAGCTGCAGGTGGAGCGCCTCGGCGGCCAGGTGGTCGGACGCTGCCAGATCAGCCGGCTGGACCCGCGGTCGGCCAGGCCGAACTGCTACAGCCTCAGCACGGTGCCCGGCGGCCACCCAGCCAGCTGCGGCGTCGAGGTGGTGGTCGTGGAGGGCTACGCGGGCGCGCCGCAGGACGCCCCCCGCGACGCCGATCCTTGGTCGCAGGGGCCGCCGATCCCAGCGCCCCTCACGGTGGCGCCGGGCGCGGCCTTCGAGCTGGCGCCGCCGCCGCTGCTGGCGGCCCCGCCCGGGCCACAGCCGCAGGCGCATCCCGCCCCGCAGGCGCCGCAGGCGCTGGGCCCCGCGACGCTGCAGGTGCTGCGCCTGCTGGACGTGCCGTCGAGGCCCGGGCTCGGCTACGTGCTGCGCCTGCGCGACGCGGGCGGCGAGCTGTGCAGCGCGCCGCCGGTGCCCGGCTCCGGCCCCGCGGGCGGCACGGAGAGCGTGGACGTGCGCGCCGTCGGCGCCCTGCGTGCGGACACGGCCGAGGCGATGCTGCACGTCGACGTCGAGTTCTCGGACGGCGCCCTGCTCGGCACCTGCCCCATCTACCGGCTCGACCCGCGGTCGGGCGCGCCGTCGGCCTACGCGCTGCTGGACGCGCGCGGGGGGCCCGCCAACTGCGGCATCGAGCTCGTGGTCCAGGAGGGGCAGCGCTCGGCTGCCCCCGGCGGCTGCGGGTGCGCCGCCGCCGGCCCCGCCGCCGCCGCCGCTGGGAATGGCGCCAGCGTGAGCACCCTCCAGCTTCGCATACTGGCGGGGCATGACCTGCTGAACAAGGACAGCGGACTCTTTGGCGACGTCTCCGACCCCTACGTCGTAGCCAGGGTCGGGCACGCCGAGCGCCGGACGCCCACCATCGACGATAACCTCAACCCGGTATGGAGGACGGGGAACGAGTTCGCCCTCGACGTGGGGCCTCACGACGCGGAGCTGCGCCTCGAGGTCTTCAACGAGAACGTCAGGCTCCGTGGCGACGACAGCCTGGGCAGGGCTGTGGTCCCGCTCGGGGGCCTGCCGCCGCAGCAGTGGGTCCGGCGCCGCGAGCGCCTCGAGGGCGTGCGCACTGGCGAGATCGAGTTTGAGGCCAGGCTGATGCCGCCGCAGCCGCCCGCCCTGCCGCAGCCGCCCGCCCTGCCGCAGCCGCCAGCCCCGCCGCAGCCCTCTGCGCGGCAGCACCCCTCGGGGCAGGCGGTCGCCGGCGCGCTGGCGGCGGGCCCCTGCGGGGCTGCGGCGGGCCTCGCCCTGCCCCCGCTGCTGCCCCCGCCCGCGCGGGGCGGCCTCCTCGGCGGCCCGGCTCCGCCGTGCCTGCCGCCGCCGGGCCCCCCGCTCGGGCCACCCGGCGCGGCGTGGCCTGCGCCGCTGCAGGTGGCCGCGCCGCCGCCTCTCCTCGGCCCGACCGCGAGCCCCCTCGCGGCGCCCCCGCCCAGTGGCGGCGCCAACTTCGCGTGCGCCGGCGCAGGTCGACTAGACGTGTACGAGTGACTCTTCGCCGGAGTGGTCTTGTGGTGCGGGCCCGCTGGAGTGCCCCGATCGCGGAGCGCGAAGCGGTACAGCAGCGGCTTGCGCGCCCAGGTCTGGCCACCACGCGTCCCCTGGGTAAGCCGCGCACCACAGGTCACTCTTGCCTAGGGCCACTCTTGCGTGTAGCCGAGAAGGGCCGCCGGGGTATGACCACAGCCACCTGCACTTCCCGGATTTCTCAGCCTACGAGCCAGAGGACTACGAGGGCACGGAGCCGTGGCTGAAGCCGCCAGCCTCCTCCGCGGAGCTGGACGAGCTGTTCGGGTCCGACCGCGACATGGACCTCCTGGCGCTCACGGCCGAGCCCTGGCGTGCGCCAGTGGTGGCGAACCACGACCCGGTGTTCCAGGAGAACGTCTTCCCTGACATGGACATGAAGCTGATCAGGGTGCGAGAGGGCGAGGAGCGGGTCGCGCGGCCCGTGGACAAGGAGGCCACGGCGCTGCGCAGCAAGACGGGCCTCCCCGAGCTGCCGACGAACCAGTGGGTCCCGAAGCCGCCGCCGCGGCCGCAGGCGGCGCTGAAGGGCGCGCCGCGCGCTGGCGCGGGCCCGGCGCCAGGCAGGCTGCCCCTCAAGGCGCTCACGAGCAGCGGCGAGGTGCCCGCGGCGCGACCAGCCAGGCCCGCCGCCGGCGCCCGGGTGCCGGGCGACCACCGTCGCGACAAGCTGAAGGCGGAGCGCGAGATGGTGCTGCCCGAGGAGGCCGAGGAGATCGACAGCCTCTGGCGGGACGCCGCCCTGCGCGACCTGGACCCCGAGCTGGTGCCAGCGGGCGTGGAGGCGCAGGCGGTCGCGGCCTTGGAGGCCGGCTCGCACGCGGGGGGCGAGAGGGGCGTCTGGCTGCGGACGTCCTCGGAGGAAGCTGCGCTGGAGCGAGGAGGCGAGGCGCAGCGGTGGCTGGAGCGGTTCGAGGCCGGCGAGTTGCGCGTCGGCGTCTCGTGCCGCAGGGGGCTGCGGGGCCCGCATGACCCGCTGCCCGCCCAGGACGGCTTCAGCCTCACTCGCCTCCGGGGTGGTCCCACGCTCTACGTCGTCGCCGACGGGCACGGACCCTTCGGGCACCTGGCCGCATTCCGCATCGCGCAGAGCCTGCCGAAGTTCGTGGCCGACGCCCTGCTCGACAGCGGCTCCCTCCGAGCAGACTCGCAGCGCGCGCCGTGCGGGCTGTCGGCAGCGGCGAAGCAGCAGGTGGAGCACGCGCTGCTGCACGCCTTCCAGCAGGCGCAGGGAGAGCTGCTGACGTGGGCGAGCTCCAGGGACGTGGACCTGGCCTGCTCGGGCGCCGCCTGCGTCGCGGCCCTCTGCGTCGGCGCCGATGTCCAGGTGGCCTGGCTCGGGGACGCACGGGCGATGGTGGCGACTGTCACCGAGGATCTGGTGAGGCGAAAGGGGCCCGGGGGGGAATGGGAAGGGGGAGGGATAATGACGATGTCAGCAGGTCGCGCCGCCAGGCGTTTCCCTCGATGCGCGGGGCTAGTCACGTGAGTTGATCTGAAGGGACAGGGAACGATCAAGGTGACCAGGAGTTGCAGACATGGACCGTGACGAAGACCAGGGTCGACAAGATCCCGCGACATCTTGATCATGGTCATCGTGATCCTTCCCTCGAGGATTTGCCATCCTCCTCTTTACCGAACCCCCCCCTCACTGGACGCTGCTGGAGGTTGCTATACAGATGGGGGCTGGGAAACACTTGCCTGCGATGACGAGCTGTGGACGAATATGGAATCAATGCGCGTCCACAGGGCCAACTGAGGCACCCAGGCGCACCCGCTGTTCCCTACACAGGGAGCCCTCCGAGCGATATCGGTTCTTGTCTTGTCGTCCCAGATCTCCGACGTCATGCTTGTTTCACAACGTCGACCCCCCAGAGGCCTCGACCCCTTCGCCGGGACCGGTTCTTCATCCCGACGTTCTTGACGGTCCCGGGGCCGAACGAGTGCTCCCCGAGGCTGAAAACTAGTAGTTGCCAATTTCTCGCCGTGCTGTTGTTCACAACGCGGGAATGTGGGGGCTCTATGCTGTCGTGCCCCCCTCCTCGCCCGATCCGAGCGGACTGCCAGAGAATGGACTGCCAGAGGTCCCGAGCCCTGGGGGTACGGTCGGCCCGAGGTATAAGATCGAGGTCGGTTCGGGGAGGGTACGTACCTTAGTGCTCTTCAGGTTGGTGGGATGTTCTTGCGCATCATGGGGAGAGTACCCTTCTATATTCTGCTTGTTTCGGCCAACGGAGGGTCTCATGTTCTTAGGGGATGTCCTTCTGGCCCAGGTCCGGTCGTAGTGTTCCGCCCGCGGTATGCCTTGCCGACGGCCCCGGGGACCGACAGCGAGCCCCCCTTGGAGACGGAAACCGCCCTGTTTGGAACACATCCCTCGGTCGGGAAATCTTGGACGGCGTGCCGCTCCGCCAGTTCTGACCCGCCACGCTTCGGCGCGACACGGGAACCCCGAGGGCCGAAACATCGAAGGACCCAAGCGTGTGCAGTTGTGAGTACCGCAGTGGTGCGTATCATCCTCTTCGGCGGAGCTCCCTACGGGGCCCCTGTGCCGAAATGGATGGTGGGAACGCATGTGTTCACAGCCACTGGGGCGTTCGGTGGCGCTCCCCGTTGGGCCATGAAGCGGGTGAGGGGTGTGCCGAAATGGGTTACAGGGTTGCATGTGGTCACAGCCACTGGGGCGTTCGGTGGTGCTCCCTGTGGGGCCACGAAGCACGTGAGCGGTGTGCCAAAATGGGCGTGACACGCATGTGAACGCAGCCACTGTGGCCATCGGTGGAAGTCCGTATGGGGCCACGAAGCGTGTGCCGAAGTAGGCGAGGGACGCATGCGAACGCAGCCACTTGGGCCTTCGGTGGAGCTCCCTATGTGGCCACGAAGCGCTTGAGGGGTGTGCATGTGAGTGCAGCCACTGGGGCCTTCGGTGGAGCTCCCTATGTGGCCACGAACCGTGTGAGGGGTGTGCCGAAATGGTGCACATGAAGAGAGAAGAGGCACGATGCTGACGAGATGGTGTGGATGATGGCGATGGCGATGGTGATAACGATGCTGACAATGATGATGCTGGTGATGATGGCGATGCTGATGATTATGATCAGGATGTTGATGATGATGATGCTGATGATGAAGATGGTGATCTTGCTGCTGATGATGATGATGCCGATGCTGATGATGGTGATGGTGATGGTGCTGGTATATGTGATGATGATGCTGATAATGATGGTGGTGATGATGTTGATGATGCTTCTGATGATGATGATGCTGATGGTCATGATGATGATGATGATAATGATGATGCTGATCATGATGAGGATGAGGATGATGATGATGCTGATGATGATGATGATGGTGATGGTGAGGGTGAGGGTGATAGTGGTGGTGATGGTGATGGTGATGGTGATGATACTTATGATCATGAGGAGGAGGATGAGGAGGAGGAGGAGGAGGCGGAGGAGGAGGAGGAGGAAGAGGAGGAGGAGGAGGAAGAGGAGGAGGAGGAGGAGGAGGAGGGGGAGGAGGAGGAGGAGGAGTATGAGGACTTTGGGAGGGCAGAGGCAGGGGTGTCAGGAAGGGGAGGGCAGCGGGAGGATGGGAGGATGAAGGCGGGGGAAGAGAAGAGGAACGAAGGAAGTAAGGAACGGGGGGCGCAGTTTCTTCAAATCGAGGACCCAACACCACAGGATAGTTTTGAATTGTATCGTCGGAAGGCTGGCTCGACTATACGTGAGAGTGTCCATTCGCGGGACTCACCCTTGGTGCGGGCCCTCTGGGGTCCCCCGATCGCTGATCGCGAAACGGCAGCAGCGTCTTCCGAGCTTGTGTGTTGGCCTTCACGCGGCCCCCAAGACGCCGCGCACCAAAAGTCACTCTTGCCCAGGGTCACTCCTGCGTGTAGCCGAGGGGCTCTCGCCCGAACCGAGAGGACTGTCAGAGCGTCGACCTCCTGACCCACGCCCACAGCACCGGCGACCCGCAGGAGCAGCAGCGCGTGCGCCAGCGCGGAGCCGTGCTGCGGCCCGTGCCGGCCGCCACGGGGGCGCTGCGCATCTTCGCGCCAGGGGCGCTCAGGGGCAACCAGAGGAGGAGGAGGAGGAGGAGGAGGAGGAGGAGGAGGAGGAGGAGGAGGAGGAAGAGGAGGAGGAGGAGGAGGCGGAGGCGGAGGCGGAGGCGGAGGAGGAGGAGGAGGAGGGGGGGGGGGGGATTAGGTCCAGGTCGACAGCACGTACGTAAGAGTGACCATTCGCCGGAGTGGCCCTTCGCCGGAGCGACCTTTGGTGCGGGCCCATTGGGGCCCACCGATTGCCGAACGCGATGCGGTGGCAATTAGCGTCTTGCGCGCTTGTGTTTGGTCCCCCTGCAGCTTCTGAAGAGCCGCGCAACAGAGGTCACACTTGCCCAGGGTCACTTTTGCGTGTAGTCGGGATAGGCTAAGGACCTTCGAGGTTCTAGATTTTCCTACGTCCTCGTGGCTTCTCAGCGGTTTCCGATTCCCAAGTCTCGGGATGCCTTTTGGCAGCTGCGCCTCGCCCGCCGAGAGCGTTGCGGAGTTGCCCCGATCGTCCCAAGCGGCCGAAAGCCACAGAGCAACGTTTGGGGGAGGGTGGGCCCAGAGAGGGACGCATCGACCCCCAATCGCCATTCATCTCCGATAGGGGCCCGACGGCCCCGCCCCGCCCAGAAGCGTGCGGGCTCGCTGCCGGGGGCCTCTCGCCGATCCATCGGCGATGTATCTACGATTCCAGGTCGATGCTTCCCCCCCCCGTGCCAGTGCCCCCCCTACAGTCAACCCGCACAGGAAGGATGGGCAGCCTTCCCAAGGGTACCCTTGCATCCTTGCCTCCTCGGCCCATCCTGGGCCACTCTCGTTGGCCGCGCCCCGCTCAAAAGCTTCGAAATGGCCTTCCAAGACACTACCATAGGTATAGGAGGAGGAGGCGGAGGAAGAGGCGGAGGAGGAGGAGAAGGAAGAGGAGGAGGAGGAGGAGGAGGAGGTGGAGGAGAGGGAGGAGGAGGAGGAGGAGGGAGGAGGAGGGGGAAGGGGAAGAGGGGGATGAGGGAGGAGGAGGAGGGTGGAGGAGGAGGGAGGAGATGAGGAGGAGGAGGAGGGAGGGGGGAGGAGAGAGGAGGAGGGAGGAGGGGGAGGGATGGAGGAGGAGGAGGAGGAGGAGGAGGAGGAGGAGGAGGAGGAGGAGGAGGAGGAGGGGGAAGAGGGGGAGGAGGAGGAGGAGGAGGAGGAGGAGGTCTCCCCATCCTCCCTTCTTCCCCGTTCTATCGGTGGCAGTGGCGGTGGAGAGTCGGCCCATCGTGGCCCCTCAGGCCCGCGTGCCGGGCCTCCTCGCCACGCGCGCGCTGGGGGACTTCGGGGCCCGGGCGCTCGGCGTGGCCTGCCAGCCCGACATCCGCAAGATGTCCTTCGCGAGGACCCCCCCCTCGCGGTGGTTCGGGGGCGGAAAAGAGGAGGGTGATGACTAGGGGGGGGTGGATATCATGGCGTGGGCCATGATATTTCCCCAGATTTCATGGCGCCTCTTCGTATTTCATGACGTCCCTGGCCCCCCCCGCTGGGCCGCGCACATGCCGCCGGTCATGATTTGCACCCCCCCCTCTTGGACACCCCCCTCTTGGCCGCTCCCGAGTGGTGAGGGGCCCAGGCATTAAGCAGTGGCGAAACGTCCTGGCGAGCCTACAGGGCCACCAAAGAATGTTCTGAGATCCTCTTGTGGTCTGCACGGGATGTTCCGAGAACATCTCTGGCTCAGACTTTTTATTGTTTTAACGCATCGGGCGTCTGATCTGAGGACGAAAATTGCTTGTGTCACTATAAAGTTTTGGGGTTCTAAGAACATGTCGTGGTAAGACTATAAGAATGCCGGGACGGTCACTCCCTGCTCACAGGCATGCTCAGCGGCACCGTAACGGGTAGTACTCACTGACGGTTTTTTTGGAAGGTGCCGAAATTTGCCACGCTGGGCCTCTTTTTGACATTGCAGCGTTGCCCATATCGGGAAGGGTGGGGTTCGCCGGGTCATTGGCCAAGGTACCCTTTAGTGGAGTCCCCGTTAGAGGGGCGCTGACATGCTCGTGCCGTTGAAAAATTACGACGGGAGTTGTTTGCAGTTTTCGGCCTCCAGGGTTCGTCGCTGAGCCCCAGGACCCCAGGACCGTCCAGAGACGACTGGAGATGAAGAACCGGCCCCAGGGAGAGGGTCGGGATTCTTGGTCGCATGTCTGGGGAGAGATTGAAGCCACGGGGACGAGGACGAAGATGGATGGGACAGGACAGGCGCCGAGGTCGCCCGAAGGGCGTCTCGTGCGGGGAACGAGGGCGTCGCCCAGAGGACGAGGATGGGGAGGAGGAGGGGAGAGATGACGTCAGAGAGGAGGGCGAGACGGGGGGGGGGGGGGCAGAGGGAGAGGAGGGCGAGGAGGAGAAGGGCAGGGAGGAGGACGCTGAGGTGGAGGAGCAGCCGGAGGAGGAGGCAGAGCCTCGGGGCCTGCGCGCGGGCGGGCCCCCCGAGAGGCAGCCCAGGCTGTGCAGCCTCAGCCAGGGCCTGGCGTCGCTCGTCGCTCGGACGTGAGCATTCGTTTTTTCGGCGAGGGCCATCGAGGACCATCCTGGACCCTCGAGCAAAAACAGCACGCACGAGACCGAGAAATGTGCATGGGACATTGACGCCCGAGCGACGGCACGAGGGAGGCCCAGGATCAGGGCACACCGCTCCAGAGCGTTTCGGGACGCTGGAGGAGGAGGAGGAGGAGGAGGAGGAGGAGGAGGTCCTGAGAGCGCTCCCGAGCGCTCCCGGAGCGCGCTGCGGCGTCCGATATGCCCGCTGCGGCCTCCGGGCCCGCGGGCTCTCAGAGGGGCCCACCGCCCCTTCGTCTGCATCCCGCACTCGCCTTCGACAGACCCCCCCCCTGATGGGTCAATTTTCCACCACCACTACCATAGGTAGGACGGGGAAAAGGGAGGATGGGGAGGTCCTTCCCCTGCTGGTCCTCCTCCTCCTCCTCCTCCTCCTCCTTTTCTTTCTCCTCCTCCTTCTCCTCCTCCTCCTCCTCCTCCTCCCTCTCCCGCCTGTGGTAGTGGTGGTGGAATTTCGTCCCATCACCCCCCGGTCTGGGTCTCCGACGATGTGGTGTGCTCAACCGATGTGCTCCAGAAGCAGGAGTGGCACTGGGGATTCCTGCCGGGATGCCACAGGAATTGGGGGGGGTCTGCGGGGGATCCGGCTGGTGCCCGCTTGGTGGGCGCCCGGCCTGGTGCCCTCCCGTGGGCGCCCCGTTCAGAAAGACAATCATCGGGTTGGGACGATGGGGCTGCGAGGAATGACCAAATCATCCATCTGATCGCGTATGTCTCAGGTGATTCTTACTCACCCACACACGCACCGCCTTTGGCCGTCGCATCCTACAAATGTTTTGGATATTGAATTGCCTGCCCATTGTGCTGGCATTTCTGCTTGAACTTATTTGTGCTCTTTGCTTCCATCTCGCTGGAAACGACGTTCCCGCTCATCGTATTCATGCGTCTTTCCTCCATCGTCAACAATTCTTCCTGAAGAACTTAGCTCTGCGCATCACGGGCTTAGGCAATATAGTCTGGCATCACTTATGGGATCAGATCGGCAACGCAGTTGCACCGCTGGTGCCGACGACTCATACAAAAGTCGTGGTACAACCCACGAACAGAAGCGGACCAATGCAGTAGTGATTCCGTATAACGAACGGGACACAATACGAAATTCACGATTATTTACGTATCAAGGACGGAACGAAACACGGAATTTGTCTCGGTCCCGCAACCTCCCAAAACTTGGATGGACACGAAGAAACGTTCACGAGTGAATTCCGTACCACCAATGGGTTGCAATACGGAACTCGATGCGGAATTCACGATTCAATGGACGAGTGTTCATACCCTTGGTCCATCCCCAGTGCTCGTCGCATCGCTTCAACACCTGAGACGCTTCAAGATGGCTCCATGAGGGCTTCGGACACAGACAGGAGAGCTGTTTGACGGCCCCCCGGAGACCACGACAGGGCTCCAAGAGGCCTCCTAGAGAGCCACGAGATAGGCTGCAGTGTGCAATCTACTTCTTGGGAAGTTTCCAGGGGTCCGAGATGGCCTCAAGAGGGCCACGAATTAGGCTGCAGGTTGCAGGCCGCTTCTCGGGAAGCTTGCGCGGTGTGGAATTGGCGGCCCATGCGCTGCAACGGCGACGCGTTTCCCTTTTCGTTGGACGCATGCGGCCGGTGGCATCGCCCACTGCATCCGACTGCTGCTGCTCATGCCCTGCTGCGCCCCTGGCCCGTCTCCCCAGCGCGACACTGGCCCCTCTGACTCGTGGGCGCCTCGCGCGCTGGCGGGGTCTGCCGGGGTGTCCCCCCGGTGCTGCCCGCCCGCGGGCGCCCCGCGGGCGCCTCGAGCGCCCGTTGGGGTCTGCCGTGGTCTCGCCCGGTGCCCGGTCCGTGGGCGCCTCGTGGGCGCCTCGAGCACCGGGTGGGTGTGCCGAGGTCTCGCCTGGTGCCCGGCACTTGGGCGCTTCGTGGGCGCCTCGTGGGAGCCTGTTGGTCCGTCCGAGGCGCCTCTTGGGTGGGTCTGCACCTCGCAGCTTGCGCCGCATGGCCTGCACCACATGGCCGGCACCGCACAGTTCTGACTGCTCAGGCGCTGAGACCGCGGTTTCCACCGTATGGCTTGCACGGCACAGCATCTGCCACTTGTACTGCGCCGCGTAGCTTGCAACACGTGACGTCGTCGAGGTTCCACATCCACGGCGCAATAGTTTGTAGTTTGGGGTCCACATTGGCTCGCATTTATTCGAGTTCGGCCTCCATGGGCTTTTTGCGGCCGTGGGACCATCAACAGTGGATCCGGGTCGCAAAACATAATTACCCCTTGGGAAGGGGTCGGGAGCTGTGGCGCCGCGGATCGACAACAAAATCACATCATATGTTGTTTTGGGGATACTCAGCGAGGCCCTCAGAGGGGCCCGTTTCATCCGAGCTTTATTTTGTCCTCCTCCTGGTTTTGCCTTCGACGGGCAGGGTGGTCCATGGCCGTCTGGGCTTCAGTCGGGCCTGTCCCTCTACAGGGGGAATAATCAAAAATAGACAAAAATAGTCTGGGACTATTTTTGAGTATTTTTTGTCCAGTTTGAAATATGTGTTTGGCATCTTTTGTTTTTCGTCGAAAATCCCTCTGTAGGGGGGACACGCCCGACGTCAGTCTGGGCGCAGGGTGCCCCGGGCGGGGGGTGGTCCATGGCTGTCTGGGCGCAGGTTGGTTTTTCCGTCTGACAATCTGACGTGCTCAGGGCATGTCCTGACATCTTCATTGTGCCGCTGCACAGTTACTGTGCCAAGAAGTTACGTAGCCGAGTTCCCAGTCATGGGAAACATTGGTCCACGGCCGTCTGGGCGCAGGGTGCCCCCTCTGGGGGAGGGGGCGCTCGGGGCGGCGCGGGGCCACCGAGGGGGACCTGCTGAGGCCAGCCCGGGCGGCCCCCCATTCGGGAGCTCTCTGCGCGCGGCCTCGAGGGCGGAGGCAGGAGGAGGGAGGAGGGGGAGGGGGGGGGACAAGCTAGGTGCGCTCGCGTCAACATCTGACATCCTACCCCTCCCTCCCATCCCTTCCCATTGAGCTACTTCATTGTCCTCTCACCGAATCGGGCTTCGCATCTGACCCTGTTACCTAAGAGGGAAAGGTGGAGGACGACGGCGCGATGAAAACGAAGACGACGACGACGAGACGACGACGACGACGACAACCACGACGACGACGACGACGACGGCGGCGACGACGACGACGACGACGATGAGGACGACCGGCGACGAAGACGGGACGCCGCCCAAAAGGGGGGGGGCTTTCTGCGGCCCCAAAAATCAACGAATCGACACCGGATGTGTAATCACCTCCAATGTTTTTGCCGGGGATCATTTTCTAGATTTGGGGCTTCTTAAAAAGAATCGAAAACGTCGGCGCTGCAGCGGGAGCACGTTTTGGAACAACGAGAGGCGCAGAAATTGGGCCAGCGCTGCAGCGGGAGCACGATTCGGAACGAGCGGGAGCGCGGAAATGAGGCCAGCGCTGCAGCGGGAACACGATTCGGAAGGAGCGGGAGCCCGAAAATTAGGCCAGCGCCTCAGCGAGAGCAGCATTTTAGAAAAAAACACAAGCGAAAACCCAACTCCGGGGAATCCTGTGTGTAAAAAAACAGTACGCGGGGGGGTGCCGAATATCTTCCGGACGCCATCAGGGGAAGTGGGAGAGTAGTATTCATATTGTGTAACTGTGGAGGGGGAGGAGGAGGAGGAGGAGACAGCAGGCAGGAGGAGGGGGCAGGAGCAGACAGGCAGGCGGCGGAGGCAGGAGGCCGGAGGGAGGAGGAGGAGGAGGAGGAGGAGGAGGAGGAGGAGGAGGAGGCAGCAGGCAGGAGGAGGCAGGAGCAGGCAGGCAGGAGGAGAAGGAGGCAGGAGGCAGGAGGCAGGAGGAGGAGGAGGCGGTAGCAGGCAGGAGGAGGCAGGAGCAGGCAGGCAGGAGGAGGAGGAGGCAGGAGGCAGGAGGCAGGCAGGAGGAGGAGGCAGGAGGCAGCAGGAGCAGGCAGCAGGCAGGAGGAGGAGGCAGGGGCAGGCAGGAGGAGGGCAGAGGAGAAGAAGGGAGGATTAAGTCGGGCCTGTCCTTCTGCAGGGGGAATATTCAAACACAGTCCAAAAATAGTATGGGGACCATTTTTTGAGTATTTGTGGGCATCTCTTGAGTATGTTTGGGATCTTTTTGATTTTTCGTCGAAAATCCCCCTTTAGGGGGACGCGCCCGACTTAAAGGGAGGAAGGCAGAGGCCGAGGAGGTAGAGGAGCAGGCGTCCGGAGGAGGGCAGAGGGCGGAGGGCAGAGGAGACGGAGGAGGGCCAGTGCAGACCCAAGACTCATCAACGATATTGCAATAAACTCTCCCTCCAAGTTCCCTGGTCGCAGGCCTCCACGAGGGTTAATATTCACCAGCGCGAGCACCATCAGCACGAGCACCCGCGGACGCCCTGACGATCAGCAACGACGCGTCTTCTCGTTTCGTAGGCCCACCACTGGTATGGCGACGAGAGTTCCAGAGAGCAGTGGTTGCGACATTGGACAACGACCGAGAGCCTCGCTGTTGCGGACACATTTTCCGCAAGACCCCAGACAAGCAGATCATTTACACCACGACCGCGGGCAATCCGCGACAGTGCGACTACAGATCGGTAGACAGAAGCTTGCTTGCAGGATGCACCAACGCCGAAGCCACAAAGATTCCAGACCTTGGTTCGGATCACAAAGTTGTCGTACTTCACGTTCGCTTCCCAGCACGAGCACATGGGACAACGACGCGCTCTACACCATGCCCATTGTGAAGCAGCGACGCCTGCAGCAAGCGCTTGGCCCGCATCGACTCCGACGTGTACCGGCGGCACTTGGGTTTTCAGCTTCAAGCGGGAGCCATGCCGACAAACCCACAGGAGATCAGCCACGCTATCGAAAAGAGCCTCTACGCCTCCGCAGTGCACGGAGCAGCCACCGCGACCATGTGCGACCAACGGCAGCCACGGCGACTTCGCAATCAAGTGCGACCAACACACGACATCTTTGAGGAACGAATGATGCAGCGCCAAGACACACCAACTGCAGACACCAGTGCCCGACGAACGATCAGCAAGAAGATTCAACAGAACACTCGACGACAAAAAAGGCTGACCAGAGGGAGCGACCCAGTATCATACGGGGGCAGTACAAGGGCCTCAAGCACATCCGCTTTATCGACACCCGGCGAATGAAGACGCTAATATTTGAGATGGTGGGCGCTGACGGAAGCAAACAAGCGACGAGACAGTGTATAGCAGACGCATTTGCAGATGTTTATTTTCAGTTGTGTACTTCTTCATCCAAGAGCCATAACCCACCACCAGCCGCGACACCCGACGCACTGCATATGCCACCTTTCACGGATGAGGAGCTCACCAGAGCAATCTCGCACCTCAAGGGCGTTAAAGCACGCGACATCAACGGAGTTCGGGCTGAAATGGTTCAATAACCAGGCCTGGAGTTTCAGCGCGCCCTACTGCAGCTGTGCAACACCATCATACAGGTTGAAGCCCCCCGACCAGCCAGTTTGAGAAAAACCGTCATCGCTGCAGGCCCCAAGCCAGGCGTCTTAACGCCCCCGCAGAACGACCGCCCGATATGCATTATGCCGATGCTGTGCAAGCTCTGCAGCAGCAGCATGGATTGAAATTGCACCTGCTTTAAACCAAATTTAGGACCAACCAGCCTCGGCACCGCGACAGGGTGGCCAGAGCTGGGATGCAAATGGAAATGTTACCACGACCCACCACCATTTCCGCGACCGCAAACACGAACTTACCAGCAAACGCTACCCACTGAAGCGCCGACTACGATGGTACAGGGGCATCGTCATACCTACTATGGTGTACGGCGCAGAAACGTGAACTTTGACAGAGCCTTTCAAACAGCAACTACGCCGAGCACAACGACGGATGGTCAGACTGATGAATTGAGCACCAAGAAGACGCTCGGCAGCGACGCCGACGCCGCACCACAATGCAGAAAGAGACCAACACAACAACAACGACACCAGGAGCACCGCCCCAAACGACTCCAGCGATTCCGGCGGCTGCAGCAAACCACCCACACGCCAGCCAGATGCGTAGGACGAGGTTAGCAATTACGAGGGCACAGAGCCAGGCACTATCCAGGATGACGACGCCGAGATGTGGTCCAATGTCATGCGCAGGAGCACGTGGAGGGCAGAATCATTAATTCTCGACACGAGCCTGACATACCTGATGTCCTACACATCTACCGCCGAATGGTCTGGCGATTGGCAAATACTGTGGCTCACCACGCGCCGACGCGCTGGACGCAAAGAGTGCCGAAGTCGAGCCCAACTCTGCATGCTCGACGTCGAGGACGTCGGCAACATGGATGGCGAGAAAAATGATGGGAAGACTACTTCCGACAATTTTAACACAGCTTGGGCGGGCAATGTTGTGACGCCGACGCCGGGCGGGACCAGATCCTGGCAGCGACCATGTTGAGACGCCACGAGCAAAACAACAAAAACGACCTATGATGGTCATCGGTGGCAGGGAGCAGTGAGCGGTGGCTTTCACATGAATCTGCTTACGTATCACATTTTTGACTTCACGGCCTACACGCCATGCCCTAATGGGCACGGGCGGGCTCACTCGCGCAGCCCGCACCTTTCCGGCGCTCTTTCTTTCTGCACTGATTATTTTTCGTTGAGGGTTGTGCCCCGTTGGAAGACAAACACCGTTTGAAATTCTGGATATGCGCCTTGACGATCCTGAGTTGTGCCAGAGCACCATTCCTGGGACTTCCACTCCGCGGGTCAACATTGTTGTTGCGCCCTGACTTTCCGACATCCTGCAAAAGAATTGTTGCTTGGGCCTTACCCACGATAAGTAGAGGAGCTGCTGAGTGCTCTTAAGACGAATGTGCGCGGCGCTGAGGCGAGAACCACATTTTGAAGCGGAGCTGCCATCCATCCGAGAGACTTTCGCAGATATTGGAAAGACAAATGCGCGCTGTGCCAAAGCGAGGTTCACCTTGTGAAAAAGGGCCGCCCGCCACCCGTGAAACTGTTGCACATGTGTCAAACGAGTGCGCGCGGCGCTCAGGCGAAAACCACATTTTGAAATAGACCGCCTTTCATCCGTGAAGCTCTTGCAACATTCGAAGACGAATGTGCGCTGCGCTCAGGAGAGAGCCACAGTTTGAAAACAAACCGCCCTCCATCCGTGAAGCCCCTTGCGAACTTTCACTTCCATCCGCGAAGCCGCTGTGATCTCTAATCTCCCGGGGCATGAATGGTGAGGACGTCTCTGGCGAAACGCCCCGCCCACCCCCTCGACCGGCCTCGCGATGGAGGAGGTGGAGGAGGGAGGGGGGCAGAGAGGGAGGAGGGACGAGGGATGCAGGGAGGAGGAGGGAGCAGGAGGGAGGAGGGATGGAGGAGGGAGGAGGGCAGAGAGGACGCCTGGGCTGGTGCTCCTGGGCTCTGGCGGGCTTTGGGACGCCGCCGGCGCCGGCGACGGCAGCGCCGCCCTGGGCTCGCTGCTGGGTGCCGGCGGCCTCGGCCGCCAGGGCCCGCTGCGAGCCGTGAGGCACCTCGCCGCCGAGGCGCAGGATCCGGCGGCCTCTACGGTGGGGGCGTTCGTGAAGGTCTACAGTTCTCCTGCTCCTCCTGCTCCTCCTGTTCCTCCTCCTTCCTCCTGCTCCTCCTGTCCACTCCTCCTCCTCCTCCTCCTCCTCCCCTCCCCCCTTCCTCCCTCCTCCCTCTCTCCTCCTCTCCTCCTCCTCCTCCTCCTCTCCTCCTCCTCCTCCTCCTCCTCCCCCCCTCTCCTCCTCCTCGCCCTGGGTCCCTCCTCCTCCTCCTCCTCCTCCTCCTCCTCCTCTCGGTCCATGGCCACTTTTGCTGGCTGCGCCCCGCCCGCGATGTGTCGGCATGGCCTCCCGAGGCCCTTGCATCCTTATATCGTGCATCCTTCTGGTACGGGTCGACTGTTCCCTGGGGCAGCGGAACGTATCGATCCCCAAACGCCCATTGATCGCCGATGGAGGTCTGATAGCCCCACCCCGCCAAGGAGGCGGGTCCGCCATCGCCGACCTATCGGCGATGTATCGCCGATTCCAGGCCGTTGTTCCCCCCCCCTGAGCCAGCTCCCCATTTATGATGGGGGCATTCGTTAAGGGACGTGCCCAGGAGGCTGCAGGCCCTGGAGACAAGCAGAATTCCTGATCTGATAACGACCACGGGAAATCCATGGCAGTGGTCCTTGGTTTCTCCACCAGTTTTCAGACCCTGGATTCCTTATCCAAGGGGACCTGATCCAATGCCCACGCCGTATCCGTAGCCATTTTGGCTCAAGGCAATGAACCGTCCCGACGACCGCGAGTCTTTCGGGGCGAATTCTGAGCGCGAGGGAGGTTCCGCTTTGAGGCCACCTTCCTTTCCAACTTGCGAGTGCTGCCACCGCAGCACCCTCCAGGACCTGCGGGTCACGCCTTCTTCCGAGTCGGTGGGTCCGCCCCCGTCGACTCCTGCCTGCCGCACGCCCGCGGCTGAGCAGCACGCCCGCCCGCTCCAGCGATGGGGCCCAAGGCCGAGCCTGGCTTCGTCGTGTGCACGGGCTGCCGCTACCGCTGGAACTTCCGCAAGAACGCGGAGTGCTGGCAGTGTGGGATTGGGCTGGAGCTGGCGCCCTCGAAGCCTTCGCCCCGCGTCGGGGTCTGGGCGGATGGCGGCGGCGGCGGCTCCCCGCCCGCGCATCGTGGAGGCGGCGGCGGAGGCTCACCGAGGGATGGCGCCAAGGGCGGCAAGGGCGGCAAAGGCCGAGGTGCAGCCTCCCGTGGCGGCGGAGGCGGTGCAGCCTCCCGTGGCGGCGGCGTCGGAGGCGCGGGCGGCCGTGGTGGAGGCGCCTTCCCGAAGGCCCCTTGGTCGGCCCTGCCCGAGAGCGAGCTCGACGCGCTCCTCGCCTGCGGGGACCCCGCCATCGCGGCCAGGCTGCAGGAGGCGGTCCGCGACGCGCGGTGCTTCGTCGCGCCCGCGGCCGCCCCAGCGCCAAAGCCACTCGAGCAGCGGCTGCAGTCTGCCACGGCGAAGCGGATCAACCTCCAGCGCCAGCTCGACGAGGCGGCGGATGCGCTCGTGGCGGCGGAGGACCACCTCGCCCAGTGCCGCGGCTGGCGCGACGAGGCTGCGGTCAACCTCACGGAGGCCAAGGAGGAGGAGAACGCCCTCTTGCGCCAGCGGGCCCAGGCGGCTGGCGTTGTGGGCGCACAGCCCGATGGAGCGAAGCAGCTCACCTTCAACTTCGACGCGGAGTCGTTCGACAACTTCGCGGAGCTGGAGGAGGAGGCGCAGGCCACCCTCAGGCGCCTCTGCGAGGAAGGGCTCCAGTTCATGCAGGGCGCGCAGGCTACGTTCGAGCGCAACTGCCAGGAGCACCAGCAGCGCATCAAGCGCCAGATCGAGGAGGAGGTGGCCAAGAAGCGCAAGCGCACCGAGGAGGGGCCTGCAGCAGCCGAGGCCGCTGGCACCCCCGTGCAGGGTGCTGCCGCCCCGCCTCATCCTTCAGGACAGGCGGCCGCCCCTGCTGCCGCCGCCGCCCCAGCCGCAGGCGCTGCGCCAGGAGCTGGACCCCCCCCAGCGGCCGCTGTGGAGAGCCGAGCGGCAGACGAGGCGGCCCGCCAGCGCGCAGCCGACCAGAAGGCCGCTGCGGCGGCCCCTCCACCTGCTGCTGGCGCTGCTGCTGGCAGTGGCCAGACCTGCGGGTAGCACTCTGCTGCCAGGAGGCGGCCCCGACGGTGCGGCGCCGCCCGCCCCAGTCGGGGCTGAGGAGGCAGAGGCGGCGGAGCCCAGCCGCCCCGAGGCGGCGGCGCCATCGAGAGGCGGCCTGCACGCCTACCTGGCGGCCAATGAGCAGGCCGAAGCCTGGGAAGGGCTTCCCTTCAGAGTGCCGCTGCTGCGCCAGGACCGGCGCTTTGATGACGCGCGCCACGACACCAAGTTCGAGGCACTCAGCAGCAGTCCAGAGCCAAGCGCTGCGGCGGACTTGGCTGGGCCCGACCGAAGGACTGGCAGTCCTCAGCCCAGCCAGGGGCCCATAAGGAATAGTGGGTACCCATTTCAAGTTGACCAGGCTACGGGCGAGGGCGTGAGACCCCCCGAGGTTCGGAGACCCAAGGCGGCGAGCAGCCGCCCGCCTGGCGGCCGCTCGGCCGCCGCGGCAGTCGTGAAGCCTGCGGCGCAGCCTCAGCCTGGTCGACCACAGGTCAAGCCCCTCCAGCTGGCCAAGCTGATCAGGCCAGTGGGGGCGAAGCGAGCCAGCTTCGTCACACTGAACGGCTCGACCTGGACAGAGACGCAGGTGGAGCTGGAGCGGATCCAGGACGAAGGAGGAGGCGACGACGGCGTCCTGGTGCAGGAGTCACGCTTCACCTCCAGCCAGAAGGCGACTGACGCCTGCAGCTGGGCCAGGCGCAACTGTTTCAGCGCTGCCTTCGGCAGCGTCCACAGCACGGGGCAGGCGGCCCAGGCGGTCTCGGCAGGCGTCGGGGTGCTGACGTCAAAGTCTAGGGGCGTGGCGGCTATCGACCACGACTGGCACCAGCACAGTGCCCGCATCCTGGCCCGACGGGTGGCCTTCGGCGATCTCGTGGTTACGGTGGTCAGCGCCTACCTCGAGCACACGACCAGGATGGCTGGCTACAACCTGGAGCTGCTGTCGGACCTCCAGGAGTTCCTGTTCAGCCTCCACGAGCCGTTCATAGTGGGGGCCGACTGGAATATGGACCCCAGCGTGCTCGCCGCCTCTTGGTGGCCACGGGCTGTGGGCGGGGTGGTAGTCGCGCCCACGACCTTCACCTGCGGCGACCAGATCTACGACTTCTTCGTGATCTCCACGGCGCTCGCCGGCCTCAGCCCGAAGGTGGAGGTCATCAAGCCCACTACACTGAACCCGCACGCACCAGTGCGGCTCACGTTCAGCGAGCTGGGCAGCAACGCCATGGTCTGGGCCCTCAAGACCCCCAGGGTCTTCGAGGTGGGCTCGGAGGTCTCGGCCGAGCAGCGTGAGATATCCCTGCAGGCGGCGACCCAGATCAGCTGGACAGCCCCCATCACCGACAGAGACGGCACGCCCGATGCGGCGATCAAGGAGTTCTTCGAGGCCGCGGAGCTCCACCTGATCGACCAGTTCGGCATCTACGAGGGAGAGAGGTACCAGGGCAGGGCCAAAGGTCCCCGCACCGTCAAGAAGAAGCTGGCGGACCTGCAGCGCACGGAGGCTGTCAGAAAGCTCAGCCCCATCACCAAGTGCTGGCTCTGCCTCGGGAGGATCGCCAGGCAGCTCAGGGCGGCTGCTGCGGTCTGCTCACCCCCTGTGGGGCACGTCGGCTACATCAAGCACCTGGTGCAGGTGGCAAAGAGCTTGGGGCCCAAGTTCGAGCAGGCGGGCTGCGCCATGTTCGAAGGCTCGAAGCTTGACTCGCTGATAGACGTGATCCAGGAGCCCACCGAGCAAGGGCAGGTCTTCCTGCAGATGATCGAGAGCACGACGGAGAGGCACCGCAAAGAAGACGCCAAGGCGGCCAGGCTGCGCTGGAAGGACTTCGTGGACGAGGCCTTGGCGAAGGGGGCAAAGGGCGCCCACGCAGTCATAAAGGACCGTGACCAGGTGCTGGACTCGGTGACCGCGCACTGCCCCGACAGCCTGCCGCTCCCAGTTGTTGGCCAGCAAGCCCTGGACCAGATCCTCATTGAGTGGAAGGCCCTTTGGAAAGGTGCCGACGGGGAGTGCAGGTCCAGACCAGCCGACTGGATCTGCTCCATGGAGCTGCCCCCTATCACGGCGGACGACATCCTCGAGGCGGCGAAATCGTTCCCGAAGCAGACCGCTCTGGGCTGGGATGCGTTCCACCCGCGGCTGGTCCTCTCCCTGGGCAGGCCCTTCGCCGAGAGGATGGCAGGTGCTCACGGCTTGGGAGCAGCAGCCGCAGCCCACAGCCTTCTTCACCACGGTGATCGTCTTCCTGGGGAAGCCCGACGGAGGCCGCCGCCCGATCGGCATCATGAGCATGTGGACGCGTATCTGGAGCAGGGTGCGCCGCCGCTACTGCGCCAAGTGGGAGGCGGACCACCCGCTCCCCGAGGTCTGGGGCAAGGACGCGAACACCTGCTGTGACAGGGCGGCCTACCTCCACAACCTGGGGCTCGCGCTCGCCCGCCAGCTTGGCTTCGAGGCAGCCTCCGTCTACTTCGACATCAGCAAGTTCTACGAGCGGATCGACCATGACCTTCTGCGCCAGGCCGCGGAGGGCCACGGCTTCAGTGTCGGTCTGCTCAGGGCCCTCTGCGTACTCTACGCTGGGCCGCGCCGCGCCTCGGCGGACGCCGCCATCAGCGAGCCCATTGAGGTCAGCGGCGCCATCATCGCGGGCTGCTCCTGCGCGACGACGCTGGCCAGGCTCATGCTGCACGGCCTCCTGCTCCAGGCCAGGGCGCTGCTGCCAGTCGGCAGGGTCGCCAACGTCATCGACGACATAGCAGGCCGCGGCATCGGGCCGGCAGCGACGCTCAGCCGAACGATCGCGAGCTTCGTCAGCGGCGTGGTCGAGATGCTGGC